GAGGGTGATTTTAGGGAAACAGGGATATAATTCAGCTGTTCTTTCTATGGATCCCCTAGGATAATTCCAACCGGCTCCAAATCAAAAGTTGAAGGAACAGCTGGGAATCTTCTCCATGGGAGTCGGGTAGGAAGGCGGGTCCCCGAAACCGAGTCATTTCTGCAAATCAACGGAACTGTTTTCATACCTGGGCTGGAGACCATGGGCATATTACAGAAATATAATTTTAAAATAAAAATAGATTCAAATAAATTGATGCTGCATCAGAGTCAGGTTATCAAACACTCTTGCTTCACACACACACATTACCTGCCTTCTCCCGGACCTGTGATCTGCAGCTCTGCCTTCCTCTCGGTGGAATGATGCTTGTTAAAAAGTTACAAGCTTCTGCTCAGGAGGCAGGACCTGGGAAGGAGTCCTTGCACGGATAACATCCAGGGAAGCTCAGAGAAGCTGTTTAAGCAGGGACAGGAGACAAGAAAAGGGGGGGTGTCAATGGGGAGGACATTAAATATATTAAATCACTTACTTTGCAAGATTGCATCTTCCTATGGAAAGGCAAAAACCACCCCCACGTCAGAGGCAGCATTCTGCCTCCATCAGTTTTCTGCAAATGTGGAAGCCAGAGAGTGTTGTTAGTCAATGAATGCATCATAGCTATTCTGAACATCTTCTTTTTGATGGATAGTTGTCGCAGGAAGGTTCTTGGGGCATGGGAACGTTGTGTGTGCTCGCACACACTCGTGTCTGCTTGTGTTACTCTGCAAAACTTAGAATCCTATCATTTTAGAGTTGGAAGGGACCTCAGTGGTCATCTAGACCAACCCCAGTCCTGTACATTAGTGGTCCCCATCTAAAACACAAACAATTGTCTCCAACTAAGTCCTACTCAGAGCAGGCCCACTGGAACTCATGGAGCTGAGTTGCCCATGTCAATTAATGCAGCAGTTCTGCTAAGTTAGTCCTGCTCAGAATGGGTTCATGGATATTAATGGACATGGGTAACTTCAGCCTACCAATTTTAGTGGGCCTCCTTGGAGTAGGATCAACATTAGCTACACCTCCAAATTAATCACAGTTTGACTGCAAGTTAGGATTACTACCCAGCCACCCTTTACGCCTGACAGACACCTTTTGTGCGTGCAGAGAAGCAAATAATAATTTGGAACATTTATAACCCATCTTTCCTGCTTTCACAGGGCTTTGCCCACGGCAACATCCCAAATACATAATGTGTATTTAAAAGCAGTGCCCCAAAAGTCAACAGAGTAGAATAAAATTAAGTGTCAGCAGTAGTTCATATACACATTGATCTACTTAAAAGCATTTCTAAGCCACTTAATATTTGAAAAATCTCAGAATGGTATTCTACAAAAATGCAACATTCAAATGATGAAATGGGGCCGTAAAACAGAGATACGGTAGGAGTGCCAACAGCCATGGGGCAGAGCAGCTGCCTAGCATGCAGAAAGCCCCACTGCCCCAAATCCAATCTCCAGCACCTCCAGGTGTGGCTGGGAATTGCCCTCAACCTGAAATCCTGGATAGCTGCTGGCAGTTTGTGCCAGGACAATGCTGAGCTATATAGACCAATGGTCTCACTCAGTATTCAGCAGCTCCCTATGCCCCATGGACATTTCCTTCCTTCCTTCCTCCTCCTCTTTGGCTAGCTAGCACTTTCGCCCATTCAAATGAGTCTCTACTGGTTAAAAAACCTCCAATTATTTTGTTCGTAAAAAATAAAAAGAGTTTGGGGTGAGGGAGAGCCAGCTAAACCCACACTCTTCACTTGCTGTTTGCGGACCAGGCCCTTAAAAACATGGGAGCAAGCCAGGCCATTCCCCACCTATGGCTACTACAGTGGTACCTCGGGTTAAAAACTTAATTTGTTCCAGAGGTCCGTTCTTAACCTGAAACTGTTCTTAACCTGAGGTACCACTTTAGCTAATGGGGCCTCCCGCTGCTGCCACGCTGCCAGAGCACGATTTCTGTTCTCATCCTGAAGCAAAGTTCTTAACCCGAGGTACTATTTCTGGGTTAGCAAAGTCTGTAACCTGAAGTGTCTGTAACCCGAGGTACCACTGTACTAGACATGATAGCTATGACCTGCCTTGATGATTGAAGGAAGCAATGATTCTGCATACCAGCTGCTGGAAGCCACGGGACAGGAGAGTGTTCTCATGGTCAAACCCTGCTTGCGAATTTCCCACGGGCCTCTGGCTGGCCACTGTAGGAATGGGATGCTGGACTAGATGGGCCATTGGCCTGATCCAGCCGTGCTCGATTCTGATTCCTATGACTAATTTTAAGGCCTGCCACAAATGCAGGGGGGTTGCGGAGGGAGGTTTGTGGTTACGATGCATTATTTCATTACTGTATAATTATTCTAAGCAGTTTTATTATTATTTAGAAATATTTAGGAGATGCAGGAAAATTCACCTTCCAAACCAACCTCTCCAAGCTCTGCCGCAACCCAAAACAGATTCGTGCATGGAGTGTGACGACTTTCAGCTTAATTATTTGGCGGCATGCACTAAGTTTGATTTGCAGTTCCGCTGGTAGCAATGATTTGTATATCTAAGGCCTTCTTGCTGGGGTGAGGGTAGGCAGAATTAAGCCAGATGGGGCAGGGGAGATTATAGCAGCATTTAAACCCCCCCCCACTTAGGATCAGGAATCGGAGAGCGCCAGGGGAGCTCTGCCCACACCCCCTCCTTCCTACCTACCTCTGCAGTTCCCCAAGCTTTCTGTAACTGCAGCAGTTCCTAACTCATCGGGTATGTGTCCTCCGGACATGCTGTGCGTGTGAGCATTGCAGCTCCACTGCAGCAACTGGCGGCCGGCTGCAGAGTGTTCCAGGCCGGCTGGCTCCTCCACTCCACTAGACAGGGTAGACATTGCAGGTGCAATGTCCTTGTCTTTTCCAAAGAGAGAGAGACAGAGAAGAAAGGTTGGGATGGAAAGGAGTCCATCTCATTAAGCTGTGAAAGCTGCAAGGGATTTAAACCCTGCACAGATCAATATGGAGAGTGGATGCTTCGTGGCATCCAGGGTTGCAGCCAGTCATTATTTTACTCAGAGTAGACCCATTGAAATGAATGGTGTTGCGAACTGCCCTGTGATCTTCGGATGAAGGGTGGTATACAAATTTAATAAATGAAATGATAATGATGATGATGATGATGATGATGATAATAATAATAATAATAATAATAATAATAATAATAATAATAAGCTTTTGATCATCAGTTAACACTAATGTTCTTTACTTGGACTTCGTTATTTTAACCCACATGCAACTGTGCTTATTCTGCATGCCTGTTTTTTGGTTTTGGTTTTTGCCTTTTAATTTTCATCTGCTGTTAAAACTGTTCTCTCTGTTTGTATGATTTTTTAAAAAAAGAAAAGCCTTCACTACCACCACCACCCCAAAAAAGAAAATGAAATAAAAGAATGAATGAGCCTAAGTTAGGCATGTTTCTTAACTTCAATGGGGCCTATTCTGAGTAGGTCTAGTCCTATATGTAATTGTTTTGTAGGGCTGACTTTACTTTCTGTAATTTTCAGCACCTGCAGCTTAGAAATGTTAATAGTTAAGCAGTATATAAATACCTTAAACAAATACTATACTTGTTTTAATTGTTGTTATATTGGCCAAGGCACAGTCTGACCCCCTCCTTTGGTAATCCTTACAGAACTCTAGCCCAATGGTTGCCGTTAATTTGATTTTGAATTGATTTTTAGAATGAATTGATTTTAGAATGCATTTCAATTAATTGATTGTGATTTTATGTAAATTGTGTTACTTTTATTGTTGTTAGCCACTCTGAGCCCAGCTTCGGCTGGGGAGGGCGGGATATAAATAAAAAATTTATTATTATTATTATTATTATTATTTATTAAACACAACTTTTTATCCTGGCATTTAACCACAGAGCCGTGTGTTTTCAGGGGCCACCTTGATTGCTGTGACTGTAATCTGTTATTTAATTCTGAATTTTAAATTGTCATAATCTGTCCTGGTACCTGCTGGTTGAAGGGCAGGTAATGAATTATTATTATTATTATTATTATTATTATTATTATTATTATTAATGCCCTGTTTCACAGGTGTGCTTTTGCATTGTTTTTGCAGATTGTGTTGTGAAATCGCTTCAAGACACTTTGGAGGAAGCAAGCCATAATTTAAAAAAAAAAATCGCAATATTGTTTTCTGCATTCTGAAGCTTTAATATTTTCGAAAGAGCAGGGCCTATTGGAATGAATGGACCATGTCTATTCATTCCAATGGACCCACCAACACTGGATATAGTCCTTACTCTCAAGTAAAGCACTGCACGTGTGTATGGGATTGCAGTGTTGGAAGGCCACAACATCACAAGTGCGGTCTAAAAACAGCAGGATTAAAAATTGCACATAACCATTGGCCAACACTGCCTTGCAACAAAAAACGCTTTTTAAAAAAATATATTCCCCCACGCTTTATAAAAAGCCTTACCAACGCAGCCCAACGGATGTCTACTCAGAAGTAAGCCCCGTTGAGTTCATTGCTACTTTCTCTTAGGCAAATGCGTGCACAATTTTGAGGAGTGTTGCAGTCTGTTACTTGGCAGCAGAGTTCCCCCCACACCCCAACCCCAAGCGCCTTCCTCCCCACTTGGTTACCAGTTACAGTTTTGGCTGCACGCCTAAGCCTATTTACCTTGGAGTAAACCCCACTGAACTTAACGGGACTGACTTCCGAGTAGGCATCTAAAACTCTCCCTCCCGCATCACAACTACCTGCGCTTGTGCAACGCGAACCATAAATATTTTCTTTTTTATAAAAAAACAAAAAACCCTGCTTGTCATTTGGAAGAGGAGGAGCCTTCTTGCCCTTCCAAGGAAACCAGATCAAGAGCGCGCTTCACGTTTGCTGCAAAATTCGCTTTTGGGGGCTCCACGCCGCCAGTGGGAGGGAGGTGAGTGCCCTGGATCAGCATTGGACCTACAGCAAAATGGGAAGTGGGGGGGGGGGGGAGCGGTCCAGATCTGTCAATCAAGTCCACTCCTCTTCCACCCCCATCGCCTGCTAAACAGGTTCCTGGTCGCACCATTGAAAGTGTTGCGTTGCGCCGTTGGGAGAAAAAGGTTCGTTCTGAGCCTGCTGGAGACGAGATTTTAGTTTATTTTTAACTGCTTCTTTGCAAAGGCAAGCAAGGCAGCCGCCTCCAGATCTGGCCTTCCGCCGCGCCAGACCAGCTGATCTTGCAGTGGAGCATGGCAAAAAAAAAAAAAGGTGTACCGTGGTCAAATCAGGAAGCTTTCTCGCCTCGGCCTGGGTTTGCTTCTAATAAAACTCCTAGCCATTTAATCAAGACAGAGCTGGAATTGCCCGGGTCATTCTACAGGGTCACAGAGAGTCCTGGGAACTGTAGTTCCTTAAGGATGCTGGCAGGTCAGTTCTCGGAGGTCAGCACCTTTAACAAACTGCAGTTCCCAGGGTTCTTTGAGGGGAGGGGAGTCATGACTGTTAAAAGTGGCATATGGCTGCTTTAAACCTGTGGTGTTGGTGTGACCTGAATCAGGGCTGAGGAACATGTGGCTTTACCTCTCTTGCTTTTGCTTTTTTAAAAAACTGGCCTACAACTCCCATAATCCTTGACTGTTGGCTACGCTGGCTGGGGCTGATGGGAGATGGAGTCCCAACCGCATACAGATGGCCACAGGTTCTCACCTCAGGCCTACATTAAAAAGAATAGAAATTTGGTATGAAGAAGAAGAAGAAGAAGAGTTTGGATTTGATATCCCGCCTTTCACTCCCCTTCAGGAGTCTCAAAGCGGCTAACAATCTCCTTTCCCTTCCTCCCCCACAACAAACACTCTGTGAGGTGAGTGGGGCTGAGAGACTTCAAAGAAATGTGACTGGCCCAAGGTCACCCAGCAGCTGCATGTGGAGGAGCGGAGACGCGAACCCGGTTACCCAGATTACGTGACTACCGCTCTTAACCACTACACCACACTGGCTACTCATGCTGGGTAGTAGAGCTTTTGCTTTGCATGCAGAAGGTCCCAGGTTCTCTGCAGGTAGGGTTTGGAGAGGCCTTTCCTTTTGTGTGGCGTGTAGAAACTTCTCACTTTTTGCACAACTGCAAGTAGGACATGGGGGAAAATTTGACTCAGGATGCATTTCAATGGGAACCTACCTAAATTGCAGTTACAGTGAACTGAAACAGCCCTCTGCAGCCAATGAATGTGTTGGCTAGGGGAGAGTGTACATATAAACAAATATATTAGTGAAAGTAGCATACCAAAAATGCATAAAATTACGGGAAATTGCATATGAACTTGTGTACCTTAGGGGAAATTTACCAAAAACCCCTCCAGTTTTTCATCTTTTTTTAAAAAAATTGCAAACTCATAAGGAAATGTGTAGAAATGAACTATAGTTTGCAAGAAGGAGAAACAGAGTCACATCCATCGTTCTGCCCAAGTTTGCATCCACCACCCAGGTGTGGCCGTCAGAAACTGCCCCATGAGAGAATGACACCCTTGGTTTGGAAAATGTTCCTTAGTCCTATTCTGTATTTTGATTACTATCAAATGCCACATCATACATTCAAAGCAGTATCATACCATTTTAAACAGTCACTGGCTTCTGCCAAAGAATCCTGGGAACTGTAGTTTGCAAAGGGTGGGTTAGAGACTCCTCTTCCCCTTGCTGAGCTACAGTTCCCAGAGTTCCCTGGGAAGAGGGGTTGGTTGTTAAACCACAGTTGCTGTGAACTGCAAGTGGGGAGAGTGTTGTTGCGCTCAGGTCTTGCTTGCGGGCTTCCCATTGGGGCCTCTGGTTGGCCACTGGGAGAGCAGGATTCTGGACAAGACAAGCCTCTAGTCTGATCCAGGAGGGCTCTTCTTACGCTCTTAGTCACCCTATTTTTCTCGGCTAGCTTAAAAAAACAATTGGACCAATTCATGGGGGTTAAGACTATCAGTGACTACTAACTATGGTGACTCTCCTACTTCCATAGTCCGAGTACCAGATTCTGGGAATCGCAAGTTGGGAGAGTTGCTGTGACACTGAGGTCCTGCTTCCAGGATTCACACTTGGGGCATCTTGTTGACTGCTGAGAGAACAGGATGGTGGACTAGATGGGCCTTTGTCCTATCCAGCAATCAGACTCTTCTTGGACAGTTATGATAAACTGCTGTGAACATGGAGGAGACTCCAGACATCCTATATTTGTTTCAGTGGGTTGAGGTCTTACCTGAGTGCCAGGGAAAGCTTTGCGGGGCTCAAGGCCTCCCATGGGCACCACCTTTGTGCAGAATGGTACATCCCAGTCATGCAAACACACAAACACCCCTCTCTATCCAGGCCAGCAAGAGTCACAGTTCAAGAACAGGCAAAAGCTAGAATGTGCAGGACTAGTTAAGAATGTGGCCTGAGACTAGGGAGGTGATGCATGGCCTGGGGAGAACCTCAAAGGTGATACAGAGAGGTTTGGAAAGCTACATTAGGCCTTAAGATTCCCTATCCTTGGGATTTTATTCCAAGGAATAATATTCCAAGCAATACACCCACAAGACTGCTCCAGTTGCTTTTGCTCACATGATTGTTGAAAATCAGTAGTCCAGTGCTATTCACACACTTCCTTGTTTGATCAATCTGACGTGGAAGCGGTTAAGCAAATTATCAGCTTCCCCTCTCCTCAAATAGTCTGGGTTTATTTGCATGACAACTGGGCACAGATAAAGAAATATTGTTGGAACAGCTAGGTGAATTTTGTGCAATTGGATGGGTGTTGTGTAACTAGGGAGTTTTCTGGTGGGAGGAGGAATGTGTTAGAAGCATTTCAAACTGCTGAATCTGCTCCAAGGAGATGAATGGATCCATCTCTGGTATTGTGGTCTCATCAGCAAAAGAAAAATGTTCTCGTGCACGCGCGCGCACACACACACACACACTTATCAGGGCATACTTTGCACATTTGTAGATATTAATTTGACACCACAAGCTCAAGTGTGGTTCAAATCACTACTCTCCTCTCTGGCAAGTAAGAATTGGCTTTAGGCAACCAGTCAGGGAAGCTTTTTGAGAGTTGACTCTTTCAAGCTGCAAGGGACTAGTTTAGGTGTACTGTGGACTAGAACCTTGTACAGAGCTATTTACAAGGCTGGGTTTAGGGCTGCCATCTTCTTCCCACTGAGATCTTTATCTTTACATGGTATATTTTATTTGTATACTGCCATTCATCTGAAGACCAAAGAGAGGTTCACAACATAAAAATACAAAATGAGAACACAAACTACACAATAAAAACTGTGTCTTTATAAAGGAACCCAAATTATTTCTTTAAAGCACTTTTGTGTGCCTCTTTAAAACCCTTGTGTACCTTAACCAGCTCAGGACCACAAAACCCGCTCAGACCCTGCAAGCATCACCTGAAACCCATCTTCATGTGCCTCCTCCATGAGAGGTCCAGGGGGCGGCAACACGAGAACAGGCCTTTTCTGCAGTGGAATGCTCTCCCCAAGGAGTCTCCCCTGACACCTTCATTACATATCTTTAGGCGCAAGGCAAAAACATTCCTCTTCTCCTAGGTCTTTGGCTAATAAAACAGTCTATGGTATTTTAAACTGTGGGGGTATTGTTTTTGTACAAATGAATTGCAGTGTAATTAATTAATTAATCAATCAATCAATCAAATCAATCAATCAATCAATCCCATGCACCCAGAGAGGGACAGATGTTAGCCAAGGTGAACATAAAACAGTGGTGTAAGGAGAAAGGAATGTATGCATTACTATCCCCCCCCCCAAGCTGGGAATAGGAGGGCTCTGGTTTTACCAGGAAAAGTTGGGAGTTGCTTATCTCTGTAGTCTTTTGTTTACCTTACAGCTGAACACTGCAGCCAGACTGGTTTTGCAGATTCTTTCTCACAAGTTTAGAAGGCAAAAAGGCAGCAGAACTAGAAAGAAGCTGGTTCCTCGGCAGGCGACTTATTCCACGGCTTAGGTAAGTCTATATGGCAGGATCAGCAAAAGGCAATAAATTAGACTGGCATTTGTTTAGAAGGTAGGGGAGGATGAGCACAGCTAGTCGTAGGTCTTCTGGTCCTAAACCAGCATTTACCAAACTGGTGCCCTCCAGAAGTTTTGAACTACAACTCCCATCAGCCCCTGCTATTGGGCTGATGGGAATTGTAGTGCATAACATCTGGCAGGCCCTGGATTGTTATAGGTAAAAGGTAAAGGACCCCTGGATGGTTAAGTCCAGTCAAAGGTGACTATGGGGTACAGTGCTTATCTTGCTTTCAGGCCAAGGGAGCCAGTGTTTGTCCACAGACTGCTTTCCAGGTCATGTGGCCAGCATGACTAAACCGCTTCTGGCACAATGGAACACCGTGACAAAAACCAGAGCACACAGAAATGCCATTTACCTTCCCATCACAGCAGTACCTATTTATCTACTTGCACTGGTGTGCTTTCAAACTGCTAGGTTGGCAGAAGCTGGAACAGAGCAATGGGAGCTCAACTCACTGCATGGATTCGAACCACCAACCTTCCGATCAGCAAGCCCAAGAGGCTTAACGATTTAGACCACAGCGCCACCCACATACCATACCTTACCTGGGTTGTTATTTACTGCTACCAAAAAGGGTAAAGGAGCTCACCCCACTTCCCTAAACTGTAGGATATTTCAGTGTGCCCTGATTAGGGGGATCTGATTTCCTTGTAATGAGGTTGAATTGGGGTCGTAAGGGTGCTTTTGTAATTACTAGTTTTATTTACAGATATATTTGTTTTTAAAATCTTAAAATTGCGGCTTACAAAGCCATAATACATGTTGAGCTATTACTGAGAGCTAAATGGAAAATGTGCATTAAAAAACCCCCAACATATCAAGAGGATGATACATTATTAGGGTTGTTTGCAAAGCTAATCCTACCCAGAGTAAACACATTGAAAAAAATTCCTCAAACCAGAGCCAGTGTGGTGTAGTGGTTAGAGTATTGGAACTAGAACGTTGGAGACCAGAGTTCAAATCCTCCAATCAACCGTAGAGCTCGCTGGATGACCTTGAGCCCATCACTGCTTCTCAACCTAAACTACCTTGCAGGGTTGTTTGGGGGGGTTAAATGAGGAAGGGGAGAACCATGTATGCCCCCGTGGAATATCAGTGCAAGGAAATAATCACATATGTCCATTAATGCCAGTGAGTCCACTCTGAATAGGACTGAGTTGGTTACTACAATCCTTAAAGTTTAATTTTATATTGATAGCCCAGTTGGTTCGAGCGTGGTGCTGATAATGCCAAGATTGCAGGTTTGATCCCCAAACGGGACAGCTGCGTATCCCTGCATCGCAGGGGTTGGACTAGAAGATCCTCAGGGTCCCTTCCGATTCTATGAATGGACAAGGACAGTTATTTTTTAACTGATTGTATGTATGTATGTATTTTGGGGGTGACATTAGGCAAACTTGTTTTAACTTCTGACTTTTACTGATAACTTTTATTTTATGTAAATCGCTTAGAGATTTTTTTAAATGAAAGGAAATGATCATAGCTTTTAAAACTTTCCTTCCAGCTCTCTGTGTTTCCCAAGATGCTTTTCAGAGCCTTCTTCGCCCTCATCTTCCTCTGGGGTGTCCTCCCTTCTGAGACCAGAGAGTCCCGTGGCCACATCTCGGTGGTCCTCCTGGGTGCGACAGGAGACCTTGCCAATAAGTACTTGTGGCAAGGACTCTTCCAGCTGTACCTGGACGAGGTGAGCCACGGGCATACCTTCACATTCCATGGAGCCGCTCAGACAGAGCCTGAGCGAGGGCGGAGGCTGGTCTTTGAACGGCTGAAGAGGCTGGCCTGTCCCTCAGACGTACCCCCAAACAGGTGTGCTGTGTTGAAGGACCAGTTCATCAAACTGACAGATTATCACCAGCTCAAGACAGCAGAGGACTACGCCACCCTAAACCAGCAGATTACGACCACGCTCAGCCAGGAAGGCATGGAAGAAGCGGGCAGGATATTTTACTTCTCCGTGCCGCCGTTTGCCTACGCAGAGATTGCCCGCCACATCAACAGCAGCTGCAGGCCGCCGCCAGGGCTGTGGCTACGGGTGGTGCTGGAGAAGCCTTTTGGCCATGATCTCAGGTCAGCCCAGGAGTTGGCTGATGAGCTAAGGACTTTCTTCCGGGAAGAGGAGATATACAGGGTGGACCACTACCTTGGCAAACAGGTGAGTCTCCTTGTGAAAGCTGGAGGGGATATAACTTGGTAAACATGGGAAGCTGCTTCCTGAGTCAAGCCATTGGTCCATCTAGATCAGTATTGCCTACACAGACTGGCAGCAGAGTTTTGGACAGGGTTCTCTCCCAGCCCTACCTGGCAGCACTTGGAATAGAACCTGGGACCTTCTGTGTGCAAGGCAAATGCCCTACCACTGAGCTACAGCTCTTCCCATAAGGCATAGGAACATAGGAAGCTGCCTTATCCCAAATTAGACCATCTAGCTCAGTATTGGCCACTCTGACTGGGAGCAGCTTTCCAGGATTTCAGATGGGGACATTCTCAGCCTTACCTGGAGATGCCAGAGGTCGAACCTTAGACCTTCTACTTGCAAAGTAGACGTTCTAAAACAGACTTTCTTAACTTCATCTTCTGGAAAACATGCCCAGGGTGGTTGGGGCAGGTGAGCAGAGGCTGGCAACATCCCCCCTGGAAAAAAGCAAGACTGAATCAACATGTGCAATAGCACAAAGTGGTCAAATTCCTCAAAAGTACTGGATTTGTAAATAAAACAATAAAGCAGGGGTAGTCAATGTGGTGCCCTCCATATGTCATTGTACTCCCATCGTCCTTGACCTTTGGCCTTGCTGGTCAGGGCTGATGGGAGTTGGAATCCAACACCTGGAGAGCCAAAATTCCCCATCCCCTGGGCTAAGTTGGGCTTCAGTTCCATGCATCCGTGGCTACTAACCCTGACCTCCACTGTTGGATGCAGGTTGCCCCTGAATGCCAATTGCTAGGAATACAAATGGATAGGGCTTCCCATGGGCAACTGTTCACCGAGAGAACAGGATGCTGGACTTGTTGTGCCTCTGAATACCAGCTGTTGGAAGTGACCAGTGCACACTCAGCTCCTGCTTGTGGGCTTTTGGGGGGCATCTAGTTGGAATAGGATGCTGAGCTGGATGGGTCGTTGGCCTGATCCCACAGGGCTCAATGTTGTAAGATGTAGTGATGGCCACCAACTTGGATGAAACAAATTCCTGAAGGATAGGGCTATCCATAGCCATGTTCTTCCTCCACTTCCAGGGGCGGCAATGCTTCTGAACGCCGGTTGCTGGGAATCTCAGGTGGGGAAAGTGCTCTAGTGCTCAGGTCCTGCTCGAGGGCTTCACCTAGGGGCACCTGGCTGGCCACTGTGAGAACAGGGTGCTGGACTGCATGGGACACTGGCCTCACCCTCTTCTTATGTTCTTATGCGTTCGTGATGATATAAAGCTGTAGACCAGTGCTCCCAATGTCTGTGGTGGAATTACCTGGGGGGGGTTCTAAGAGGCAAAAGGGAAGCAGTGAGGCACTGGAGGTGTAAATGACTCTCAGACTTTGAAAAGCTGGTGCCATTCGTTTTGTTGAATTAATTAAACGAAATAGTTTTACCTGGATTTTGAGCAAATGCGCAATTAATCGTTGCTGTTTTGAATTTTATTACGACATTATCTTCCTTAGAGGGTTGCGCAAACTGCTGTGCTGAAGATTGTTTTTTATAGAGTAGGGTAGGGGGCACTGAAGATTAGTTTTTATTTTAACTCCCCAAGGGGGAGGTCACCTGAAAAAGTTTGCTGCTGTTGACGAAGGCGTTTCCCCACCCAAGTAATAATGGCCCGTTATTTTATTAGCTCCCACCACTGCTGTAAACTGGCCACACCAGCAAAGCTGTATCCACCTGATTTCCCAACCAAGGTCAGAAACCTCAGTTTCGCTGAGTCATCAACCCCCGCCGACCGCCCTCCACACTCTCGCTAACGGAGAGTCAGCCAAGCGCCAGATTTTCCAAACGAGGCTTTTAATTTGATAAGGAATGTGGAGCACGCACAATTATCCTTTACGTTTGCTTGTTTGTTTTTTGATCAGGCAGCTTTACAAGGGGGCAAAGTCTTTAGCTCCAAGGCAGTAACAAAATGGGCAGGGGGGGGGGATATGCCACTGTGGCGCCAGTGAAGGATAAGGGTTTTTTATTCCTTGGTTCAGGAAGCAGATTCTGGATAGTTGTAATCAGGTATTTGTTATTGTCACGCAGGCTAGTATTAATGCAGTTAAACCCCAAAATTTGAAAATGTGGTATCAGCGTTTTTCTAATTTTATTCCCAATTATAAATTTTATTTATATTTTTTTTCCCTGCAAGGACATAGCCTTATTCTGAGGCTGCGTTCATACCATATATCTAAAAAGTATCACACACACACACCCCACAAAGAATCTTGGGAACTGTCTGTTAAGGGTTCTGGGAATTGTAGTTCTGTGCGAGGCAAACTACAGTTCCCATAATTCTTTGAGGGGGTGGAATGCGATTTAAATGTCTTGTGTGTATGCAGCCCAAGTTTCACACAAAGATCATTAAGGTGTATCTTAACCTTTCACGTGTCAACCATGTTCCACGCAAACAGATAATACCACACAGGCCTTTTGTTCTCCTAGCCAGCCAGCCAAACCATAGGCCCACCTGGCAGTGGCTCCTTGGGGTTTCAGGCCGCAGGCATTCCCATAAATTGAATGTATGTCTGAATGAATAATCCTCACAGAAGTAGTCCGTCTGTGTCTGGACTGGACTGCAGGTGGGGACTTTCCAGGCAAACATACAGCATTATGCCTCATAGCGGTCACATCTTTTTGCGCCGATTTTTCCTTTCCCAAAAAGGGGGTGTGAGACTGTTACACAGCGGTGACCAGCACGTGGCAAAATGCAATATTCTCTCCACACAGATATCTAACATGTCGAGGAGAGACAAGCTCCTGACATGCTAGCTTTCTACATGGGGGGAGACTCCCCCCCCCACCTGCCTACATCACTCTGTGGGAGCATTTTTTCATGTAGCCCTCCAGTTGCAGTCTGAACTGGTATAGTCCCAACACGGGTTGACTCTCTTTTTTGAGGCCTCGTCCTCACCATACATTTAAAGCACTATTATGCCACTTTAAACTGTCATGGCTTCCCCACAAAGAATCCTGGGAAGTGATGGGTGACACCTGGCTTGAGAGCAGTACATGTGAAAAGGATCTAGGAGTCTTGGTTGACCACAAACTTGACATGAGCCAACAGTGTGACGCGGCAGCTAAAAAAGCCAATGCAATTCTGGGCCTCATCAATAGGAGTATAGCATCTAGATCAAGGGAAGTAATAGTGCCACTGTATTCTGCTCTGGTCAGACCTCACCTGGAGTACTGTGTCCAGTTCTGGGCACCACAGTTCAAGAAGGACACTGACAAACTGGAACGTGTCCAGAGGAGGGCAACCAAAATGGTCAAAGGCCTGGAAACGATGCCTTATGAGGAACGGCTAAGGGAGCTGGGCATGTTTAGCCTGGAAAAGAGGAGGTTAAGGGGTGATATGATAGCCATGTTCAAATATATAAAAGGATGTCACATAGAGGAGGGAGAAAGGCTGTTTTCTGCTGCTCCAGAGAAGCGGACACGGAGCAATGGATCCAAACTACAAGAAAGAAGATTCCACCTAAACATTAGGAAGAACTTCCTGACAGTAAGAGCTGTTTGACAGTGGAATTTGCTGCCAAGGAGTGTGGTGGAGTCTCCTTCTTTGGAGGTCTTTAAGCAGAGGCTTGACAACCATATGTCAGGAGTGCTCTAATGGTGTTTCCTGCTTGGCAGGGGGTTGGACTCGATGGCCCTTGTGGTCTCTTCCAACTCTATGATTCTATGATTCTATGATTCTAAGTGTGGCTTGTTAAGGGTGCTGAGAGGAGGCCTCTTTCCCCACGTCACGTAGCTACACTTCCCAGAATGGTTTAACAACCAGTCCTTCCTAGGAAACGGGGGATTTTAGTTCTGTGAGGGGAATGGTGTGTGTGGGGGTCTCCTTTCAGTACCTTAAATACTACAATTCCTATGATTCCCTGAGGGAAGCCAGGACTGTTTCCAATGGCATCTATGGAGCCAAGGCCTCCATCACTTGAGGAAGAAATGCACCCTGGATGTCTGAGAAGGGCCTTGAGGGGTCCATTTTGAAAGGCCCTGAGGCCATGTGCTGTGCTTTCGGTTTTCAAGAAAGAGATATCCCCCTGCTTAAAAAGAAACCCTCCAACCAGAGCCGTACAGTGGTACCTCGGGCTACATACACTTCAGGTTACATACGCTTCAGGTTACAGACTCCACTAACCCAGAAATAGTACCTCAGGTTAAGAACTTTGCTTCAGGATGAGAACAGAAATCGTGCTTTGGCGGTGCGGCGGCGGCAGGAGGCCCCATTAGCTAAAGTGGTGCTTCAGGTTAAGAACAGTTTCAGGTTAAGAACAGACCTCCAGAACAAATTAAGTTCTTAACCTGAGGTACCACTGTATTGCATTGGTAATGTGAATATTGGCCTTTGAATATTTACCTCAGCAACTCCAACCCCCCTGGGGAGGCAGGGGGTTAGATCTTCACAGCATCTGTCTGATTCAGCCACTTTTGAGTCCACAGGGAATTCAAAAGTGTGTGGTGTGTGTACATTTTTATTTATTTTTTGCAGGTAAAGGCTTTTTCAGATGAAACCTTCAGAGTTTTGTCCATTTGCCAATTTTCTCTCCCCTCCTCTACTAAATTCCAGCACCTTGGTTTCCTCTCCCCCTCAAAATCCGAATTAAATGTTAGTTATATACTATTGGAAGGGTAGTGACTTAAAATCTCTACCAGCATTCCTCCCACCAAAGTAAAAATAAAATCTAAATACAGCTTTGAATTAATTTTGGGTGTTTTTTGGGGGGGGGGTTCAGTACCTCTCCACCCCCAAAAATAAAATATTTCAGTTCAACCAGTGCTTGGCTATAGGAGGGCAACAGTGCATTAAAATGTTAGCTTGTTTTTTGTTAGTTGACTAAATATCAGGACCCCACCCCATGCTGAATCAGATATTAAGGGGCAACACACACACGTATGAGGAAATACGTTTGGGCATTTTTAGCTTAGAAAAATTGTTAAGGACACGGTAGAGGTTTAATAAGAATGTAAGATGCAAAAAACGATGCCTGGTGCAGAGAAAAGGGAGAGAGAGAGGTTTTTCTCATCCTCTCTCTCATCGTCCTGGAATTTGGGGCCGTCCAGTGAAGGTGAATTTTGGGATATTCAAGACAAATGGAAGAAAGGACTTTCTTCATGCAGCACATTGTTTAAACTATTATTTGAAATTATTATCTGTTCATTTTATTCTTTGCGTTTATATCTCACCTTTTCCTCCAAGGAGCTCAAGGTGACGTACATGGCTTTCCCCCTGCTCCTCATTTAGTCCTTAAACCAACCCTGTGAGGTAGGCTGAGAGGCAGTGACTGGCCCAAGGTCACACCCAGTGGCCAAATGTGAGGATTTGAACCCTGGTCCTAGTCTGACACTCTTAACCACACTGGCTCTCGGTGTGGAATTTCCCGTGGTGTGGAATTTCCTGTCATCTCCGTAGTTGTCGCAGTAATTTATTTATATTCTGTGCCAAGTCCCCAGAAGCAATTAAACATTTATCCCTCTGCTTTTGATTTTTTTAAAAAGATCTCTTCTGTCTTCCCCTGCCCTTCCCACCCTTTCATCTCAATTATTTCCTCCCCAAAGGCTGTGGCTCACATCTTACCATTCCGAGACCAGAACCGACACCATTTGGATCCGATCTGGAACCGGCATCACGTTGAAAGGGTGGAAATTGTCCTGAAGGAGACAGTGGATGTGAAGAGTACGTGAGTCTTGATTTGAAGTCCGCTGGAGGGGTAGCTCAAAAGCCAGAGGTTACATTCACATATTTGAATAAAAGAGGCCCCTCTATGAATCCTGGGAACTATGGTTTGCCCATGACAAAGCTACAGTTCCCAACACCTTCAACAAACTAAAGTTCCCAGAATCCTTTGGCAGAAGCCGTGTACTTTAAATGTGTTGTGTGGAGGCACTTTTATACCACTTTTCGTGGCTTCTCCCAAAGAATCCTGTGAACTGCAATTTGTTCAAGATTCTAGGAGTTGTTAGGAGACCCCTCACAGAACTACAGTTCCCAGCACCCTTAAAAAACCAAAACCCTACAGTTGCCAGGATGCTTTGGCGCTTTAAATATCTGATACAGATATGGCCATGGGAAAGGGGACCCTTTGCAGATCTGGAATGTGTCGTCTTCTTTATTTTAAAAAAAAATGATTTTTATTAATAATTTCAATATAACAAATTATCAGAACATATCATCTTCATCATTTCCCCCCATTTTCCCCCTCCCCCAAAATAACCCTCCCTTCCTCCCCCCCAAGACTTCCCTCAGTTACTCTCTCTGATTTTTCAGCACATGTTGTTCTCTGCATATTGTAAAATTATGAAGATCCTTAAATTGTTAACATCAAGAAGCAAAAAATATCTACAAAGATAATTATGAAAAAGTGTGGTTTGAGATAAAAAGAAAATTAGAAACATGGAGCAGAATGAATCTCTCCTTGCTAGGAAAAATAGCAGCGGTAAAAATGAATGTTTGCCAAAAATGCTATTTCTTTTCCAGTCAGTCCCGGTAATGGTGAAAGATGATTGCCTCAAAAGATAGCAGAAGGAAATTTCTAAGTTTATTGGGGGGGTGGGAGGCCAAGAATAAAGCACAAGATACTCACAGACACAAAAGAAGTACCACTGTATTTTGAATTACCTGATTTGTACATCACCTCAAGACAGGGGTTTCATCCCCACAGCAACCCTGTGAGGTAGGCTGGTCTGAGAGACTGTGAGGGGCCCAAGGTCACCCAGTGAGTTTCACTGCAGGATTTGAACCCTCGTGTCCCAGGTCCTAGTGCAGCGCTCTAACCACTCTGGAAAACTGGCTCTCACGTGTGAATTGCCTTGAGACGGTGGCGGTTTAGGGGGAAATTAATACATGGGTGGTGCTGATAATAAATAAATATAATAATAATTGTGTTCATGCCCAATGCACAAGTCGCCGGAGTCAGTATAATGCGGTTTTCCCTGGGCTGCAAATCAATCCTCATTGAATGAAGCCCCCTCCCCACCTTCCATTCTAGTATTATTGAGGAGTGGGGAAGGCTGCAGGGCTTCCCCCACCCTGGAAGCTGGCTGTGGTCCTGTTCCTTGCGACCCCAATTCTCAGCTCCGTCAGGACAAGCCAGGCCTCACGTCCCCATGAACTCAAGGACACAGCTGTGCTCAATTTCCCTGCAGTGGCTGCTGCATTACTTCCGCAGCGCCGGTTGCACCTGCCGCCTGCCTCCGTTCTGGGGACAGCCGCTTGGCCACCCTTCACTCCCTGCAGCGGGGGTGCCGTGCCAGTTAGCCATTGCCTTATTAAAAAAACAATAATACTTGAGTGATTTTTCTTTTCCTTTTAAAGTTGTTGTGGTTTGGCAAACTCCTGTTTGCTCCCTGCATCCTGGTTGAGGAAAAAAGGGAATAGTCGCAGGCTGAGACCTACTCAGTATGAACAGACCTGAGCGAGCCGTGGCAGTTGATTTCAGTGGGTCTACTCTTGAGTAGGTCTAGCACTGGCTTTAACCCAATGCCATCAGGCAGTCTCCTTATTTCTCTCCCCCTTGCAAGACTTCCAAGGGGTGATCTTTCATTTGCTGGCAGCCCACTGCCACCAGCCCCCACCCCCATCCCAAATGCTCAAGTGATGCCTGCATTGCCCAGGTCCTGTGCCAAAATGTGTGTGCAGCATTGATTACGTTAATGAATGTGCGCCGGGTTGGAAGGAGATGGGGTGTTCTCGGTTCCAAAGATTTTAAGAGGGTAGAGAGTCGCACTGTCATCTGCAGAGAGATCGTCTGCATCTGAGCACCAAGGAGAAATGAGGGAGGGGGTTCTCCTAGAGATAAATTGCCTTTCTTTCCTCCCACTTCTCCCCCCCCCCAACATATGCACCACACACACACACACACCCAACATATGCATCACACCTGATCTCCAGGTGTTGTTGTGTACACACCATGGGTGGTTGCCCACTCAGTTTTAATCAGAGTAGACTCATTGAAATGAACAGCTATGTCTGTTAACATCAATGGATCTACTCTGCGTAAAGTTGAATGGCTCCTACTTCCTACATTTGAAGCACAACCACACACTGAGTCCTGGGAGCTGTAGTTTTAAAATGCTGGGAATTGTAGCTCTGTAATGGGTAAACTACAGTTCCCAGAATTCTTTGGAGGAGGCGTGTTTTAAAGGGATGCTGCATGTGTACAGCCTAAGATATGAGCCAGCCAGGGCTGTTGGAAGGAAGGCCTGCAGCTAACCCTTTTCTGTAACCTCTCAAGGGCACTGCAGTATGAGGCTGAGCAGGACCTCTCGCTCCTTCCAGCCAGTCTGACATTTTAATTTTACTTCAATTTATTCTTGTTCCGTTTCATTTCTGCTTGGCTCTTCCTCCCGAGGAGCTCAGTAGCAGCCCACGGGTGAACAGGGCTCTTGCCTGTGTTTTGCAAACATGCACAGCAGAAGCTTAAAATTCTTAGGTTCTCAGCTGGAGTAGGGAAATTTTGGCTGCATAAACAACATATATTTCAAGACACACACCCCCCAAAGAGAATCCTGGGAACTGTAGTTAAGCCCTCAGTGAGCTACAATTCCCAACACCCTTAACAATCTATAGTTCCCAGGATTATTTTGAGGGGCATGCGCTTTGAATGTATGGCATGTCCACAACCACTGTTATAGCATTTATGACTTAGTTTTTTCTAAAAAGGGATTGGATAAATTCATGGGGGATGGGTTTGTAAACATAGCGTAGTGGGTTAAGTGTTGGACTAAGACCTGGAAGACTAGGTTTCGAATCCCCACACTCACTGGGTAATAATAATAATAATAATAATAATAATAATAATAATAATATAGTCATGATGGCCATGTTAAGAGGCAGCTAATCTCCTAAATTCTAGATTAAATGATTTTGCATTTAATTCATCTTTAAAAAAATCTCTATTCTTAGATGCTCAGGAAACTTTAATTGTTGGTCAGCATAGGAATATTGGAAGGTATTCAAGTAGTAAGTTTCACTCAGAGAAGACACACTGAAATTAGTGGGCCTAACTTAGTCATGTTTGTTGATTTGAGTGGGCCTCCTCTGACCAAAACTTAGTTGAATTTTGGAATCAATGGATTGTCTCCAATGTTAGTCCTACTCTGAGTAGGCCCATTGACATTAATGGGCATGATTAATGAGTCCATTAATTTCTATAGTTCTACAAACTGTTGGTGTTGTTATTATAAATCTCATTTATGAATTGCTTCCACTGTGGCATCTCGATGCAATTTAAAATATAACAGCATGTGTACATCATTCGCTTGTATGAAAAGAGTTAGCAACAATTGTATATCTAAAAACAATTAGCAAAGCAATTATAAATACAAAAACAGTTTAAAACAGCAACACGTAATAAAATCAGTTCAAATCCGAGACAGATACCCATTGGGGTAAAGATTTTTGAAGTCATAGATCCATCTAGCTCAGTATTGTCTACACCAGGCTTCCTCAACCTCGGCTCTCCAGATGTTTTGAGACTACAATTCCCATCATCCCTGACCACTGGTCCTGCTAGCTAGGTATCATGGGAGTTGTAAGCCAAAAACATCTGGAGGGCCAAGGTTGAGGAAGCCTGGTCTACACGGAGTAGTATAATCTGAGGCATCATTGCATCTAAGGAGGGCCCATTGAGTTGAGATTCCTGCGTTGCAGGGGGTTGAACTACCTGGAGATACCAGGGATTGATCCTGGGATCTTCTGCATGCAAAGCAGAAGTTCTGCCACTGAGCTACAGCCCTTCCCATAAATAAACCAGTGGGTTGCCAAGCTTCTCTCGCTATTTGGGCATCATTTTTGTGTTGTTGTTGTTGTTGTTCCCACCCCCGGTGCTCAGATCGCACTGGCTTCTACGAAAAATACGGGGTCATCCGCGACATCCACCAGAACCACCTCACCGAGATCTTAATGTTCCTTGCCATGGAGCTCCCAGCAAATACCAGCAGCTCCGAAGACATCATCCGGAGCAAGCTGCAGGCTTTCACGTCGCTGCAGAGCCCAGAGATAACCAGCGCTGTCATTGGCCAGTACGTGGCATACAACAGCCACGTGAGGGAGGAGCTTCAGAAGGGGCAGGACTACTTCAGCAGGACTCCAACCTTCGCAGGTAAGTCCGGTGGGGGTAAGCGTGGCCAAGTGCAAAAGTCGGAAAACACCTTCCCCAGGTGCAAAAGAGGACGGGGCTCTGGTACTTTTAATAGCTGCTTGCCTGTTAAGCAGCACTTGGTGGAATTCCCTGTTAAAGGTGCATGAGCCCTTCTCCATCCCCCCAGTTATTTTTGTATTTAAAATAAAAGATACCAAAAAATAATATCAATTAACAGCAACAACCCCACCCCCTAACAAAAGCCCCTGGGCCTAAACTATATGCCAGTCCAAGAGTCTGTTCAGCAGCCTCAGCTTTTGTAGCTGGAGTCAGTCAGGCCAGTTGGGGAAAGCCCACTGAGTCAGGGAGCAGGTCTTCCAGGACTCACAACCAAGACAGTTGCGACGTAACAATAATAACAACAGTTCTGCATCTTTTGTTTCAGGTGTGCTGGTTCACCTGGACAACCTCCGCTGGGAAGGGGTCCCTTTCATCCTCGCCTCCGGGAAAGTCCTGGATGAACGGATCAGCTATGTACGCATCCTCTTCAAGAACCGGGCCTACTGCGCCCAGAACGAAACGATGTGGGACCCCGAGAGCAGCCAGTGCAAGCCCAGGCAGATCATCTTCCACATCGGGCAGGGAGAGCTGAACTCGCCCGCCATCCTGGTCAGCCGCAACCTCTTCAAGCCCACCATGCCAGACAGCGGCTGGAAGGAAGTCCGCGACCGCCCCCAGCTGCGCATCTTCGGACAGCCCCTCTCTGATTACTACGTCTACATCCCCGTAGCGGAGAGGGACGCCTACTCAGTCCTGATCTCCAGGATCTACTCTGGCAAGAAAGAGTCCTTCATCACTGTGGAGAACCTGCTGGCATCCTGGGCGTTTTGGACGCCTCTGCTGGATGGGTTGTCTAGCCAGGTCCCGCGTTTGTACCCAGGGGGGCGGGAGAACGAGCAGCTCCTGGATTTTGAGATGGTGGGCAGGGAAGTGTCCTTCGTGGCGAAAGAGACCATTGAACTGATGGACGCAAGGGACGAACAAACTCCGGACAAGTACAAGACGATCCAGTCCAGGTTTCGGCAAAGCCAGCTGATCACCGCTTGGTCAGAGGACCTGATCAACCGGCTGGCATCGGACATAGAAGCGGTGGCGGCAAGTGCCGTCCGGAGGTCCGGGGAGTTCCACATGGCGCTCTCGGGAGGGTCGAGCCCCCTGGCTTTGTTCCGGCAGTTGGCTACGCGTCACTACGGCTTCCCATGGAGGCAGACCCACCTGTGGCTGGTGGATGAGCGCTGCGTCCCTCTTACCGACCTGGAGTCCAATTTCGGCACCCTGCATGAGCAGCTGCTCCGCCACGTCCGAGTCCCCTACTTCAACATCCACCCCATGCCGGTGCACCTCAACCGGAGGCTCTGCGTGGAAGAGGACAAGGGCCCCGAGCTGTACGCCAACGAGATCGCTGCCCTGGTGACCAACTCCAGCTTCGACCTGGTGCTGCTGGGGGTGGGTGCCGACGGGCACACGGCCTCGCTCTTCCCGCACTCACCTGTGGGCCTCGAGGGGAGCCAGGGCGTGGTGTTCACCGAGAGCCCGGTCAAGCCGCACCAGCGCATGACCCTCACCTTGCCGCTCATCAACAAGGCCAAGCGGGTGTCGGTGCTAGTGATGGGGAAGGGCAAGCATGACATTGTGACGGTAGTCAGCAGGGTGGGGCATGAACCCAAGAAATGGCCCGTCTCTGGAGTCAGCCCCAGCTCTGGCCAGATAGCATGGTACGTGGACTATGAGGCACTGCTTGGATGATGCCCCGGTAGTGCTGCCTTCACCTCTTCCCCCTCGCCTTTTGCCTGTCTTGGCATTCAGGATAACGGACAGCTGTTGCAGCTGCTTCTGTCTTCAGGAAAATTCTTCTGTCTGGTGGCAGGGAGTTCCACTGGCTGTTAATGAGACTGTATTTTTATTTTTGTTTAAAGAAAGATCTGCAGACCAAGGCCTGTCTGATAACCTGCTACTTCTGACAACAGCAGGCCTTATTTCACCATTGGCCCGCAAACTTAAAAGCAGGATGTGACAGGCCCTTCAGGTATGTCCCTAATGTGCTACACTGCCACCGTGCGCAGAGGATCCATTTAGACATCATGGCTCATAGCCCTTGATCGACCCATTCTACTCTATGGGATTTGTCTAATCCTGTTTTGTTTGGATTTTTAAAACTGTCTGTGATGATGCCTGTTCCCACATCTTGTGGCTGTGAGTTCCGTCGGTTAATGATTGGGACCTGTGAGCTTATGAGTGGTGGCTTTAAGAGCCGAGAGGTCCTCCTGGCTCTTTCTTCTGCCATGCTCAGGTCTCTTCACTGCTGTGTGCCTCACTTTCCCCTCTCCTTTAGAGGAAAAGGGGGCGGGGGGTCTTAAAAATGATCTGCCTCTCACAAATGCCCTAAAACATCCACAGTGGAAGTCTTTGTTTAAATAGCCCTTTGGAAATTTGTAGGTTTTGGCTCCTGGTAAATGGCTCCACGGTGCCTCTCTCCATATATAGATATAAATATATAAAAGATAGTGTGTGTGCGTGCACACGCGCGAATACACACGCACTGCGCTGGTATACACACATACCCACAACTCCTCTTCTGAATAATTCATGCAAAGGGAGCCGATATGCGAATTCATGAACTTCTTTTGCACAACCTGAGATCTCACTTTGCACTGAGCAAGTCCTCCTGCAGAGTATTAAAACACCAGCCGTCCCGAAAACCTTGTTTCCTCCCGTGAAAGCTGGATTGCAGCCTGATCCAGGGAGGAGGAAAGCTTTCCTACGCCTGATAATTTCAGTGTCCTTAGGTGAGCCTAGCTCAACACTGCATTGAGGTGCTAGCCTAGGGGATTTTCTCATCTTTGCAGGGGGTGGATGTCAAAGCCAGTTCCTAGCATCAAAGCGCAGTGGCAAAAAGAGGAAAGACGACTAGATTCTGCCACAAGGTGGTGCTGTTACATGAGTTTTCCACTTTTTCTTCTTAGGAGTTTCTTTTAAACTAGGCTTAAAAAAAATAGTGGCTTTCAAAGTCTGTTTTGTGTTCCTACTGCTTTCCCCATAAAATGTGGCATAGGCCTGCATGAATGTAAATCGCAGCCACACCATACATTCCTACATCGCAGGGGGTTGTACTTGATGACCCTCAGAGTCCCCTCTAGCTCTGCAACTCTATGATTTACACAGCCCACGGTCCCTCTAAAATCCTGGAAACACTAGGTTAAATATCAGAACTACAATTCCCAGCACCTTTAACAAATGGCAGTACCCAGGATTTTTGAGGAGAAGCCATGGAATCATAGAGTTGGAAGAGATTTCAAGAGTCACGTAGTTCAATCCCTTGCAAGGCAGGAATCTCAACATGCGGTCCCCCATCCAATCTGAAACCATACCAGCTTTGCAAATGTGCTGCAGTTTTATTGCTGCACCACTAGGAATTGTGCTTCAGAACTGTGATGTGGAAACGACCTGAGTATGTAAAAGCAACCACTGTCCACTCTCAGTGGAGCCCATGTTCCCTCCCTTTCTTCAGGAGTCTGGTTGAAAAAGAGGCAGACTCAGAGCAGCAGCTCATACAGAGATGCGACAGGCAGCCCCCCTTGTAAGCCCCTCTCTGTGGCGGCAGTGATGGGATAAAGCAATCCCATCATGGCAGATGTACCTACCTACACACGCTGGCCTTTTTTCTCTCCCCCAGAGCAGTATAACATACAGAGATGCAGCAGGAAACCTCCTCTGAAGCCACCTGCTCTGGGATTTCTCTTTGATTAATTCAGTTTTTCCACGTCAAAGTTTGGGAATTACTGCTTTAGTATAAGAGATGTGTCTTCTATAAATACTATCAAGCTCTGCAGGGATTTGAACAGAGGCTCTTCAGATTTCCTGCAGCAAGCCAGCTGCGGCTTTGATTACTACTGCTGTATTTAAACATTTACGGGGTAGGAATGCCCTCTACAGTTGCTTAAATGACACCATTTTTACTACGTCTCATTTAAAAAGTTGTTTTTGTAAGTGAACACTGGAAATAAAACTTTTTTAATTTTATAAATGATTTTTTTTAGAAATAAAAGTCTCACCCTTGCAATAAGTAGAGAAAAATGTTTTAAATGTCATTATATTTTGGTATTTGTTTTCCCTCAAAAAGAAAAGAATCAGTAATATATTCCTTTGCTTGTTTGTCTGCCTGTTTCCTTGGTTAATATCCTGCCTTTCATCGGTTCCACTGATCATAGGGTGGGTTACATCTTAACCAGGGATGTATCTGTCTGTTTTGGTTCTCGCAACTTACAATTTTTCCAATCAGTTCAGTTCACATTTCTGCAGCAATTTGCAATTTTTATAAATCCTCAAGAAAATACATCAACATTTTAGTGTGAATTTCTCCTTAAAAAATCATTTTTGTGTGCAATTTCACCTAATATACAGTCGTACCTTGGAAGTTGAACGGCATCCATTCCAGAAGTTTGTTTGACTTCCAAAACGTTCAGAAACCAAAGTATTGCTTCTGATTGGCTGCACAGGAAGCTCCTGGACATTCGGGTTCCAAAGAACGTTCACAAACCGGAACACTCACTTCCGGGTTTGCGGCATTCGGGAGCCAAAATGTCTGAGTACCAAGGTGTTTGGGATCCAAGGTACAACTGTACATTTTTTTGCGAAGTGGTTTCCCCCAAATTAATGCATCATTGTGGGTTATTTTCACTAAATATGTGCATTTTAATGCAAACTTTAGCCTTTTTAAAACATTCAGAAAATAATGAAAATCGATTAGAACACCTGTCAACATTCTATGTGTCTGGAGAAGCTTGCCTAAACAAAAATGTTTTTAGCATAAGCCTATGGATTCAATGGATTAAATGGGACGCGGGTGGCGCTGTGGGTAAAAGCCTCAGCGCCTAGGGCTTGCCGATTGAAAGGTCGGCGGTTCGAATCCCCGTGGCGGGGTGCTCTCCCGTTGCTCGGTCCCAGCGCCTGCCAACCTAGCAGTTCGAAAGCACTCCCGGGTGCAAGTAGATAAATAGGGACCGCTTACTAGCGGGAAGGTAAACGGCGTTTCCGTGTGTGGCTCTGGCTCGCCAGAGCAGCGATGTCACGCTGGCCACGTGCCCCGGAAGTGTCTCCGGACAGCGCTGGCCCCCGGCCTCTTGAGTGAGATGGGCGCACAACCCTAGAGTCTGTCAAGACTGACCCGTATGGGCAGGGGTACCTTTACCTTTTTATGGATTCAATTGACAAAAAAAGAGAGATTCTGGCTAAACATTGGGAAGAACTTTCTGACAGTAGGAGTTGCAGGGGGCTGGACTAGATGACCCTTGGGGGTATCTTCCAGCTCTAGAATTCTTCTATTCTATGAGTAACCTGGCTGAAGGCCCCTCTCTTAAGGGAAACATGCTGGTGTTGAAACAGCCTGGGGAGCCCAAGCCACTAACAAAAAGCTCACTCAGTGCTTTCACTTTGCTGGCTTTCCCACAGCCACGGCGTCTAGGAGTTGTGTTTTGTTATGGGTGTTTTTTCCATCACCGGTGTTTTGACTGAATATGTAATTTTTTCCTGATTGTGCAAATATATGCATTTTATGTGTGCAATGATAAAAACCATTTAAAAAGGGGTGCAGAGTGCTGAGGGTTGAAAAGAGAGCCCTATTCCCCCACATAGACTCACAGATTTGTAGGCAGCGGCTTCCACCAAGATCTTGTGACAGCTCTGAGAGATCTCACTGGAAGCTGCCACCATGCAACCCCAGTAAGCAAGGCTTGGGAAGGGGTGTGTAGCACCTTCCTGTTTTTCCTCATGGGGCGGTGCCCAAAGGTCATCCATTCTAGCCCCCTGCAGTGCAGAGATCACAGGTGACAGATGGCCAGCCAACCTCTGCTTAAAAACCTCCAGTGAAGGAGAGTTCTGAGGGAGTTCGTTCTGCTGTTAAACCCTCACAGTGCTACAGTCCCCGAGTATTAACAGTCAGTCCCTGTGGGAACTGTGGGAATTGCAGCTCTGTTAAGAGGAATAGCGGGTCTCCTCTGCTAAACACTCTCGGCACTCTTAGTAAATGACACTTCCCAGGATTCTTTGGGGGAGGCCATGACTGCTTAAAACTTAAGTCATGTGACCTGTCAGCTGGTTTTCGGGCCTTACAAAGTCACAGCTTCCCTCAAAGAATCCTGGGAACTGTGGTTTGCTAAGGATTCTGGGAGTTATTGTTGTTGTTTAGTCGTGTCCGACTCTTCATGACCCCATGGACCAGAGCACGCCAGGCCCTCCTGTCTTCCACTGCCTCCTGAAGTTTGGTCAAACTCATGCTGGTAGCTTCGAGAACACTGTCCAACCATGGGAGTTATTAGGAGATCCCTATTCCCCTCCCAGAGTTCCTTGATGGTTAAACCACGTTGAGAGTTGTATTTGTGAGGGTGGGGAAAGGGGTCAACTCTCAGCACTTTTAACAGCCTCCCAGAATTCGGGGGGGGGGAACCATGGTTGTTTAAAATGTTTAAATGTATAGTGCAGATGGAGCCCTATTCTAGCAACTGGGAAGGTCAGATGGATCCCAGCTGTTCTGAGATAGCATTCTAGGAAAAGTCTGGGCCGAATGAGCTTTTGTTTTCCCGTCAGCCCAGTGACTCAGGCCTCCTCCCCTCCGCATGCAAGCTGCTGTTCTTATCTGTGCCCATGCGCTGAGGACCCACAGGGTCACAATAACACAGCAATGCTCTCTGATGTCATGCCCCTAGCGGACTGGAGAACAGCAAATGCATCCCCTTTTTATGGTGCAACCAGAGCAATCAATCTCTTGTTTCCTTGAACAGAATGGCCTGGGCACCCCCCCAGCTGCTTCATCCAAAGATAAAAGCAAAATATTCTCCCCACAACCCACTCTTCTGACAACATAAACCAAGGGAAAAGAATGTCCAAGGCTGATGCGCAGAAGGGAGTTCTCCCAAATGTGATGTCAAGGGAGGCCGGCGTGACCCAGCGGGAAGGATGCAAGAGGCACTGCGCTACCGGTTGTGATCACCAGGTGGCGCCACTTGAAAAAACTAAGGTCTTCAAGAGAGACCATTGGTCCTGCTGGCTCAGTGTTGTCTGCGTTGAGGTTCACCCCCATGATCATTCTGCTTGCCCATTTCTGAACTTTTTCAACTCTACAATATCCATTTTGAGTTGAGGCGACCAGAACTGTGAACAGTATTCCAAATGCAGTTGCACCACAGATTTGCAAAATGTCATTTTTATTTTCTGTTCCTTTCCTAATGATCCGTAGCATGGAATTTGCCTTTTTTACGGGCTGCCATTACTGATATTTGTAAACCACGCTGAGAGCCTTTTTCCTTCCCTAGCAGAAGAGCAGAAAAGAACATGCTTTTAAAGGAATGAAGAATAAACAAGATTGCAGAGGGCTAGAGTCTTTAAAAAGACATTTTAACTCAATACAGTGGTACCTTGGGTTAAGAACTTAATTCGTTCTGGAGGTCCATTCTTAACCTGAAACTGTTCCTAACCTGAAGCACCACTTTAGCTAATGGGGCCTCCTGTTGCTGCCGCGCCGCTGGAATACAATTTCTGTTCTCATCCTGAAGCAAAATTCTTAACCTGAGGTACTATTTCTGGGTTAGCGGAGTCTGTAACCTGAAGTGTCTGTAACCCGAGGTACCACTGTACCTGCATAGGCTTGTGCAAATCGACATGCACAGACAGCTGGGTGGATTTTATGAGCTGAATATTGTCACCTGTTCCTTGCTTTCCTGCATGTCAAGTAATTCAGTGCTATGTAAGTTTGCTTTCTTTTGGCCAAGACTTTAAAAGCTTTTGTTGTTGTTGTTGTAAAATTTGCTATACATACAACTTTGCAAGTCGCCAAAGCCTGCACACAGAGTGTTTGGCTCTCCCACACTTCAACTGCTGATTGTCACATATCCCTGCACCCTCCTCTCTGACAGGGTTGCCACTTTCCCCAAACTCTGATGGGCAGCTCATTCCAAAACAGAGAGATCCCCAGTTATCAGGAGACCATCTCCCACCCATTAGCTCCTATTGATGGAAACATCAGTCAACCCCACCCCCCACCCCGGCTATTAACCTCCAGTCTTTGTAGCAAGGGAATGGTATGCCCCCACCATGTAACTGTCTATGAAAAACCAGAGGTTCGATTACCAGAGGAAGGTGGAAATCAACACACTCTGGAAATGATGCTTTCTGATCAGGATGCTCTGCCCTGTAAGGAGCCATCAATCCTAAACGTGCTTACTCAGTAATAAGTGTTACTGAGCCTGACACCCTCTTTCAGTGTGATATGGATTGTAGCCTAAATCTCAAGATGCAAGAGGCCTTGCCTCTGGTTTCTCATTCATGATTGAAATTTACCGTACTATGCATGAAATTAGAGGCACTCTCTTATTCCTTTTCTATGTTCTGGAGTTGAGTCTCCCTGTCTGACAGCTAGTTTTAAACCTAGTGTTCCACTAGCATCTGGTTCTCTGAGATATACTGCTTCTATATATGGAGACTTTGCTTAGCTTTCAGAGCTGTGCAGTTGTTTATTACATTTATATTCCCTTTCTTCCAATGAGCTCAAGGTGGCACACTTGTGTCTTCCCCCTTTCCTACTTTTTATCCTCACCACAACCCTGTGAGGTGGTTTATGTTGAGAGCAACTGTCCCTGTCTTTTCCAAGGAGAACTAAAAGAGTGCTCTTCCCTCACCCGCCTCCTGGTCTGCTTTTCGGTACCAGAGCTCAGCACCAGCAAATGCAAAAAGACTATCATACCTCTGAGCACATGCAGAATGCATCTGAATCACCACAGTTTTTTCTCCTGGCCCACAGAATTGTTGAACCTAGGACTTTCTGTGTTCAAAGCTAATGCTGAGCTAAGGTCTTTCCTTGGAAGTAAACCTCATTTGAACGCAGAGATACTTTTACCCCCGAGTAAACATGGCTAAGGGTGTGTTGTAAACTTACCTGAGCATCAAGTGCCATTGACCTCCATAGAATTTACTCCCAGGGAAATGTGCATCATTGGATCTCAACCTCCTTGTCTATACTGTATGTAGCT